CAGGAATGTAACTAGCCCTGCCACTGAAAGTCTGCTTTCAGCACCACTCCAAGAGGCTCAAAAGCAAACAACATATCTCATGTTAAGAACAATGAGTAAATCAACTAGTATGGCCTTTCAGCGAAGTCCTCACAAATCCATTATAAAGATGCTTCAGAATAAAACTTAATGGGCAGAAATCAATTGCCTAAACTGCCTAAATGCCCTAGAATATCTATGACATCTGTCAGTTCTGGGCAAATAAGGCACAGGGCTTGCACAAGACCTATACCGGCAGACCAGATAAGGTACTTCATTGAGCCAATGTGACATTATATGCTTAGGCAACTGCATCCTATCATAGGTAGGCCTGCTAGGGTCCCAGTCTGTACCTCACCTGAAACACGAACAAACATTCTGAGGAGCTTAGACTTCCTCCCTATATATGCAAAGGGGCAACAATACTTGGTATTTAATTCTCAGGCTATGTGTATAGATATATATATATATAACTGTAGTATCACACGAAAATTCCTTTAGTTACCATTAGCATGCACTAAAATCAGCCTTGGACGTTATTAACATCAGGAGAGGAAACATGTTTTTAGTGAAGAATTTCAGCTAGGACCAAGACACCCCTGACTGCAGAGGAGCTAGAGTTTCTCCTGCTGTTTTGTTTCTCTATCTTGAATTATGTCACCATAGTGCTTCCCAATCTACCTATAAAAAAGGCCTCATTAGGAAAACAGTTATGGTTTGTATTTCACAAGGTCCAATTCCTTGACACCCTGGCACCCTTATCAGTCCCATGTCTAGTGCAGCTGTGACATTGTATTCGGGCAGATTTAGTGCAAGGCCACAAAGCAAAACTTAGTAGCTTAGGTCCCATGCCTGTTGCAGTATATTCATGCCCCACTTGCTTGGAAACACCATTTCAAGTGATTTAAAAGAAAAAAAAAAGAAAAAAAAGGAAAAAAAAGGAAGGAACAGAAGGAATGGAAGGAACAAGAAAGCTTTGCTTGTATTACAGTTAAAATTAACACCATGCATTTATCACTTGGGGGCTGGTACGGGAAGATATACATTTAATAGCTAAAAAGAGTAACTAGTAAGAAGAGATCATACCCCAGTATTGGAAGCAGTTAAGGAACTGCACAGCTAAATGAGTCATGAAATTATTTGTACATTGCATCATAAATGCTTGATCTTTTCCAAAACGATGCTGGCAGCAAAGACATGCATGCAATTATCAGCAATACAATGCAGAAAGTCATGTGTACCAGTTCCAAGGTTTCCTGAAATGTTGGATGAAGCATATGTTGTTCTGAAGATCTGTCAGGCTCCAAGAGATGGATGTTAGAACCGCGCTGTTCAACTCCACATACAGGCTGCTAAAATACAGACACTGGGGTCTTATTAGGAGAACATTTTTTCCAGAATTTTCTTACCATGAGAATTCATACAAAACAAATCAATTTCAGTCTTGGGGTAGGGGAAAATAGTGGATGGAAGGAAGAGGAATGAACATATCACCAAGGACAAAATTCATCTCAACCAGCTTTAGCTAGCAAAATGGCATTGAATCTAAGCTCCTACTATAATCAATCTAGGATAAGTACTCCAAGCTCATCTTATCCTAAAATAGGTTCAAGAGTGCCTATCATTCTTCCGTGACTACAGAAACAGTCTGGAAAACTAGTTTACACTGGATACCTACCTTTCACAAGGCCAAACTTAAATGGGAAAAATCTAACTTTAGCATACTAGCCTGCTCCATAGTTCATGAGCTTTTTCTATGTATAGAATGAAAACAGAGCAGTGCATTCCAAAAGAGAGGTAAAGTAGAATAACTGAAAAGTCTTCTCCAAAATGTTTGCCTCTGCTGGTTATCAAAACATAACTGAATAGGCAGCCCACCTTCTGAAGTCTCTTTCACCAAAAAGAAGACAATTCTATAAGATTAATGATTACAACAAGCAGTGGAATAATGGTGTTTTTAAGAGAGAAGAGAATCAGGTTATTCACACCTATTTAATAGGATCTTCTGATAAACCAATCCTTCTGCGCTATAATTAAAAAGTAATTCAAATTTGAACCATACTATTTTAAGTCAACATTACTATTTTTTGCCCCAAACACACATCTGGAAAATGTGTCCGTATCTTGTTTGAGCATTCCCAATAGTGTCAGACGTATCAGGCACCCAAGATAAAACACCTTTTGCAAATAAATTATTTTTAAGATACAAGGCTGGGAGTTTATTCTTGCTATTTTTCTTCAGCCCTTCCATGTTAAGGGTGGAAGAAAAAGGAAGAAAGACTAATTTTATTTTATGGAGGAATTACAGTCTGAAGTGCTCAGGCAATGAACATAGTAAAAACCTTCTTTATCTGTTGACCTTACTAGAGACTAATGCACAAGTTAAAATAGCAGATAACATTACAACTGTAAACATCATTTTCTCCCAATCCTACTTTGGTATAACACAGTTTACCATACAACACTTAATGACTTACATCTGTAGAAACATCGTGCTATTAAGTTCAATCTACTTCCGGCATAAAATAAGGAGAGTCAGTGCAACAGAAATACCCAAATATAACACGAGTCACAAGAAAACTAGGACCCCTGCAGTGATCCTAAGGAGTATTATACTAAGAAATCTCTTACACTGTCCAAATCAGAGAAATAGGAAGAGCAGTTTTCTGAGACAACATTCCTATAAAAAAAATTCTACACAGGGGTAACAGAAAGGATTCTAGTTTTATTCATTCATAGAGTATTCATATTCAAAAGATCACTTTGGTAACAGAATTTCTTTATACTGCATTTTACTTCGTACCTAGTAACTTTCAATAAGTAATCTCTTTGCAAAATTCAGTGCAATTTTTTTCAATCTCCAGATACCGAGCATGCATGACTAAAGACAATGTATTTTCCTGAAACTATTTCTGTTGCTACTAAGAAAATTCGATGGCTATAGCTAATTTGAAGATGACAATCTCCAGGATCAGAAGCGTAATTAAAAAGATTTTTTAGTATATCAACTTATTTTGTTATTACATACAATAATACACAACATACATACCACATTGAAAATGAGCTTCTCAGGTGAACATGTTGTGGGGTATATTTCATATGTCTGCTCTGGAAGAACAGGCATTTGCAGTGAATTGGCCACAGGAGGACTGACCTTTTTCAGTATGATTTCAACTCCATTGAATGTATGCTAACAAAAAAAAAAGAACATTGCACCACTGAAATAAAATTTTGCATAAAAATTGGTATCTTATTTACTGAAAACGATAGTTTCACTTCCTCATAGGGATTGTAACAGTAAAAGAATAAGAAGTTAATGAAATCAAAGTTTCTACTCCCACACTCAGAGCATCTTGCAGTTTAGGTTTCTGAAATTCAAGAGAAAGGCCACCATCATCAGGAGGTGAATCTAACAAGTATTTCCGTTTCTATGCTACCTCAGCTGAAATACTTCTTCTTTATATAATTAAAGATAAAAAAAAAAAGCATGTGGAAATATGAGATCAAAAACTTACCTTTCCTTCCTCTGCTTTCTGATTAATTTGTCATAAGGGTTAAAAGCCAGATTCCTCTCTGATGCTGTGATGGCAATTGTCCAACTGATCTTATGGGCCTATGCAATTAGTTTAATGATAGAAACAGTATAGTACTAAAACCCCATTAAGAAAATGCATTTACACATGTGTAAAGGTGATCCAAATTGTAATGTCTGGATAATAAATTAAAACCATATCCTACTTCCTCTACACATTACTTAATATTGTAGGTCTCCAAGTCATCTATTTATCAACAGGCATTTTATTCTATTCAGGAAAAATGCATATTGCTGCACTTCCTTTGAAGAAAAAAATGTAAAGAGCCCAGTAAATGCTTGAGGATGCACAATTAGAGCATATAGTATCTTAACATAATTACCACTGCTTTTGCAAGTCTAATTTATTTGTTGTGACCCTCATAAAACAAGCTATAATGTAGTTCTGAAAAGGTAAACTTCACTATTTTTCAAGGGCCAGTTTTATGGCCTAAATCAGATTAGCTTCAAAAATCAGTAGAAGTTTGTTTATTTCATAGCCTGATGATCACCTTCACTGACCAATTTGCATCATGCTTTGTGCTTAATTTGCAGAATTTATATATATACATTCCCATGCAAACTGTTCCTTAAGAAGAGGGGTAAGGAAAATATCTGGAAACCCAACGGTACTAAAAATCCTTCCAAAACTATTAGTTTAGATTCCTCAATAAACAGCCACTACTATTACTACCAATCAATAAACATTGCTTCCTCATGTGATTCTTTCCTCTAGCAAATTCATAACTTTCAGAATGTTGGTTGCTGTGATTTCAGGCAATTCCCACTACCTCCTCATTACTTACCTTACATTCCTCAGATTCGGACTCTTCCATCTTCTGAGGTTTTTCTAACAAAGGCAATACACTGGCACTGTATATGTTCCACCAGAGGGCAAGAAATGACAGCTGATGCAAAGATCCAGAGGTGGTGCCATCCTGTATAACTCTCTTTGTTTGAAGGTTGTATTTGTAGTTCCAGGGCTTTGTCGACCCCAAAAAGTGAACAACTTTGGCATCTCTACCAAAACTGTAAAAATTAAATATACAAATCTATACCTTAAAGAAAAATGCCTTAATGCACACACTGCTGAAGAATCATCCTTACTGTCATTGGTGAGGTAATTTTGACATTTTAGCACAGCGACACATTCAGAATGAATATATTTTAATATATTTTCTTATCTCATCATTTGCAGCTATTTCATTTAGCACACAGAAAACAAAGGCTGCATTGCCCATTTTTTCCAACTGCTAATTCTAGCAAAAAAAGTTCATCAAGGAAAATGAAAGGCTCATGCAGTCCCATTTCTAGCTCTCTTGTCCATTGCCTTCATAAACCAATAAATACCGACAAAGTTGGTTATCACTGTTCCAGTATTTAAAATGACTAATAAATACATCATTGTAAGTTCAAATTCCAATAAGAGTGTTTTGTGCAACTGGAAGAGTAAATTCATGGCATACTAGATCTTTAAAACAACCTGCCTCTGCCAGAAAAGTTTCTCTAAATTAAGTGTTTGAAGCTATACAGTTATCAGTATGAATTTTGTTTCAAGGAAGAACCTCAGGAATGGTTAAAAAAAAATCAAAAACAACAATAAAAAACCCCAAGTGTTTCCTATACAACTGATTTGGAAACAAAAAAGGGAACTATTTTCAAAACAAGGCTTACACTAAAGTAACATTCTACATACTTTAAAATACTAGAAGAGCTTCACTGAAACAGTGTTTGGGACAGCATGGCAACCCAAATATTGCTAAGTCATCTTTCATTTTTGCACTCAGCTCTGAGTTTCTGTATCTGTCCAGATGCAAGCTCACATTGCATTTAAGCTTTCCATTGCATGATTTTTACATAGTAGGCCATTTTTCAGTACTGTAACATACAAGCAACAGATTATACTATTTTTATTCTCTTTTATAAAAAACATTTATTAATGACCTACAGAAGATTACAGTCAGAAGTGTTACTACTTACTGATTGAAAGCAGGAACATAGGTGTATACAGCACTGCTGCTTAAGTTATAAATGAAGGGTAAGTGTTTGTCAATATCTGTTGTTGCCCAGTTACTGAAGAAACTATTCAACAAGCCTTGATCACCCCCTGAAGAATAAAATTATACAACAACATTACTATGTTTGTATACACTCAAATCTACTTCAAAATTTCATGTCCAAGGATGTTCATGGGACAGCTTGAACTGGACAATACAGCCATAACAGCTGGTACAAGTGAATATTACTGTAAGGCTCACTTCCACTCCAGTACAATTTCAGTGTAACTGGAACGCTATTGTAGCGTAAGAGCAAGGGAGTAAGAAGGGAGGTTGGTTTCTCTCAGAGCGAAAGAGTGAAGACTGGCGCGCTCTC